GTGTGTATAGGGTGGGAGGTGGGGGTTAAGTTTCAATCCAATTCTATTCCATTGGTCTTTGTGTTCATTTTTATGCCAGTACCATGCTGTTTTGGTTGCCAACGCTCTAGGGTATACCTTGAAATTAGATATTGTGATACCTCCAGCTTTGTCCTTTTCATTTGAATGTTTTGGTTACTCCAGGCTTTTTGTGCTTCCGTATGAATTTTAGCATTGCTTTTCCTAGTTCTGCGAGGAATGTTTAGTAGTGTTTTGATAGAGGTTACGTTGAGTCTGTAACTTACTTTGGACACTATTGACATTTTAACAGTATTCTTGCAATCCATGAACATGGGAAGTCTTTCTATTTTTGCTTGCCTGCCCACCCTCCCTCTCTCTCTTCCAGTGGTACTGGAGATTGAACTTAGGGCCTGCTTTTTTTATGTTGAGACAAGGTCTCACTAAGTTGCCCAGACTGGACTTAAGCTTGTGATCCTTCAGCCTCAGCCTGCTGGAGCGCTGAGATTACAGATATACGCCACCATGCCTGACATCATCAGTTTCTTTCGTCATTAATTTGTAATTTTCATTGAAAAGATCTTTCATTTTCTTGGTTATTGATCCATTTTGAGTTAACTTGTGAATTTTTTCTTTTTTTGTGGATGTCCAGTTGTACTAGGATTGTTATTGAAAAGACTGCCCTCTCTTCATTGAATTGTATTTGTTCATTTGTCAAAGATCAGGTAGCTTATATTTGTGGATTTGTGTTCTCTGTTCTGTTCCATAGACCTGTCTCTTTTTTTGCCAATAACTATATCATCTTGATTATTATAGCTTTTAGTGTCAAGCTTCAGGCTTTGTTCTTCTTTTTTCTCTTTTCTTTTTTCTTTTCCTTTCTCTTCCCCTTTCAAATTCCTTTCATACTAGGGATTGGACCCAGAGTCACTTTCCATTGAGCTATAGCCTTAGCCCTTATATTTTTTGAGACCAGGTCTTGCTAAGTTGCCTGCACTTGCCTCAGACTTATGATCCTCCTGCTTCAGCCTCCCAAGTAGCTGGGATTACTGGTACGCAATATTCTGTATCTTTTGCCTCTTCATAAGAATTGGTTTGTTGGTAGTCACAAAAGAACTTTTTTTTTTTTTTTTTTTTACAAAATAACTTGAGGTTTTGATTGGGATGGTGTTGAATCTGTAGATCAAGTTGGAAAGAATGATGTTGAGCATATTGACTTCCTATCCATAAATATGTGCTGTCTTGCTGTTTGTTCAGTTCTTGATAGAAGAGTTTCATGGTTTTCCTCATATAGACCTTGCACATATTATTTTGTTAGATTTATGCCCAAGGACTTATTTTGGTGCTAATATAAATGGTTTTGTGTTTTTAATTTTTAATCCCCTTGGCTCAGAACAACCTAAGGACACTATTGCTGTGATAGCACTTGGTGCGTGAAAAGCCAGATGAGTTTTCAGTGGGTGGTGAAAATGTTCTTCATCAGATAGGTTTTACTAAGGGGAATGGACAAAGGCAGCTTTTAAAAAAGGAAAGAAACAAAGCAAGCAGACTTTGCTGGGGGAGCATTTGTACCTCCTCGGGGACTGACTGGGCTGAGGTGCTGTGGCCACAGTTCTGGGTCCTGTGGGTTGATCACACAGTGTGGTCCAGCTTACCTCAGAGCTGGGGGTTGAGTTGTCATTTTCTAATGTTAACGTTTTTTAAAAAATTATTATGTATGCTGACTGTATGACGTTTATATGAACTATACATGTGAATCTTTTATTTTTGTACATTTAGGCTGTCTTTGTTTTATTGTGAACAGAATATAAACCGACAATTTGTAATCATTTTTAGGATGAATTGCAGAAAGGGGAATTGTTTGGTCAAAGTATGCATATTGTAAGACTTCTGATACATGTTTTTCTCTAGAACAAACGTCTCCTGTCTCTTCCCTGGTGTAAGCCTCCAAGGACTGCCTTTGAGTCTTAGTTTGATTGCAGAAAGTTGGTGACCCTCTGGGCAATTAATGTCTTTCATGATGTTTCTTTACTCTTTGCACTTAGATTCTCTGCCTCCTCCTTTGTGCCTCCTGCAGATGCTGGCTGTACTGGTGCTGTCACTTAACCTTGTGTCTGTGAAGCAGAGGTGTCATTGTGGAGGAGGAGCTCATGGGGCAGGAGTGATGGGCCTCTGGGGTGTTGTCCAGCCTGCACATCCTGTGTCTCCTCCTCCTTTACAGGTGGCTCTTATATCTGCAGGAGGAGGTCAGGGGCCATGTCCTGCAGGCACTGAGAGAGGAGCTTTTGTCGTCCTGCATAATAAAAGTCAAACCATCTAAAGGGCACATAGTGAAGTGTCCTCTCACTGTGAATCCCGACTTCCATTATTACTGATTCCTTGCTGTCCTTTCAGAGAGTCTAAGCACATGAACCTCTCTCTTCCTCAGACTTCAAATAAAAAGGAAGAACAGAATGCTCCTCATCTAACCACTGACCTTAGTGATTCTGTATTTGCGTTTTTATCTGTTATTTTTAATCTGTTATTTTTTGTGGTTTTGATGTATTTAATATAATTACTTTCCTGTTGATGAATTCAAGTAGGTTGTTTCTAAGGCTTAGTATTAAATGCTTCCATAGTTTCCAATGTTTGTGGTATAAGAAGAGGAACTATTTTGGAATTTATTTTATTGGGATTTAAGCTGTGACATCTTTCTTGTGTTTTTGTTTTTAATTACTTTTTTCTGGAGATAGGATCTTGTTTTGTAGTGCAGGCTGTCCTTGAACTCACGATGTAGCCCAGGCTGGCCTCGAACTCATAGTGATCCTTCTGCCTCAGCCTCCTGAATGCTGGGATTACAGGCATATGCCATGCCAGCCCCCCCCCCCAGCACCTTGCTTATTTTTTAGAAATGAGCTCTTTTTATTATAAAATAATAGAAAATTTAGATTATACTAAAATATATGAATTTACCCATTTGGGCCCCAACCATCACAGAGAATGACCAGTAATATCATGGGTGAATATTATCAAGTCTTTTAAAATGTTTTTTTGAATTGGAATCAAATGTGTCCTGTTGTATGAATTTTCATAGACTGATGTTGTGCCATTGTGCTGCACCTTCAGGTGTTTTGTGTATGGGAAATCAGTTGTCTCGTGTCCATAGAGGCTTCATGCAGGGCTACAAGGATGAGGATGGATTGTGTTGCTGCTGACCATCCAGTAGGTCCTTATCAAGAGGAGGTGGAGGGCTGGGGATTTAGCTCAGTGGTGCCTCGCCTGCGTCGAAAGTGCAAGGTCCTGAGGTCTTGAGTTCGATCCCGGGTACCACAAAAAAAAGGAGGTGGGACCTCAGCTCGTCCCACAGGGCAAGTTGTAGGCATAAATAGATGCATTAGTTCAAAAAGTACACAATCAGGGCTGAGGATTTAGCTCAGTGGTTTTGCTGCCTGCTGTGCACGCACAAGGACCTGAGTTCAATCCCCAGTATCAAAAAAACCCCCAAAAAACCGTACACAATCAGAAAACAGATCATGAGTCCTTGAGAGAGGCACTTTATGGTCTGGGGCCAGGAGTGTTTGTGTTTTGGGGTCTGTGAAATTTGTGAAGCTATATAATATTGAAGGAAAAGGACAGACGGTTTATAACTGAAAGGCACAGGCCCAATTTACAGGTTATGGAATTAAGGAGGTTCCTGGAAAAGAGAGGATTGTAACCTGGGGTGACTTTGATTGTGTCCTGAACCTGCAGTTTTCTTAAAAGTACAATTTTAAAATTATGGTTTTCCTTGTCTCTTTCCTGTTTCTTTTACCTCACTCACTGTAGGAGAAGAAGTGTTCTACCCGAGTAGAGTGACTTGTGTAAATTGTTAGTAACGTGTTAGTGTAAGAGAGCAAAAAAGATGGTTTGGGACAGGCATGGAGTGCTGTTCTGTTCCCGTCTGTAAGTGGAGTGAAGTGCCAAGGGTTCTCATGTAGACATTAGTACACATACTACAGTCTGTTCATAAATGGCTTGCAGTTAATTTGAGTATTGGTTTTATGGAAATGAGCACATGATGTAAATTTACTTTTCACACACAATCCAATTTTTGACCATGAAAACTTTTTATTCTGGGGCCAGGGATTTAGCTCAGTGGTGCCACCACCACCTACCTCACAAGCATAAGGTCCTGAGTTCAATCCCTGGTACCGCAAATAACAAAACAACTTTTTATTCTGATGGCTTAATGAAATTTAATTTAAATTATATGTGCCTTATTGTTTTTAAAAGAATTTTGACTTGGGACCACTAAATTTATTTCATGGAGAATAATTTTCCCCTATTTAAAAATATCTTCATAAATGATATTTGTGAAATTTGACCATCTTAATTTTCTAAGAAGATTAAGATCATGTGCCTCACAGAACAAATAGAAAAGTTTGCTGTTGTTTATTGTTGACCTGTTGAAGGATCTGTTGGTTCACAGAGAGATTAGCTTGACAGGAACCCTAATCTGAGAATAGTGTTCATCATTCGAAAAACACTCAGTGTGTTTAGGAGGTGGGTTCTTTATCCTTCATTTACTTCAAATGTTTGAGTTTTCCTAATATTCCAGTTCCTTTTATAAACCGAGTAATTTTATTCATAATTACATATAGTGAAAATTTCTTTTGCAATAATGGTGGGCTCACATGTATACAGCAGTTAGTGAAAATGCAAGGGTCCCATGTCGACACTGCCCACCCTTGGGGTGATGGCATAGCCCAGTGCCCAGCTTGCTCCACTCTGCCTATGGACTCAAGTGTCCTGAGGGTACCACCTCCTCTGTCAGATTTTGGCTCGGGTGCAGCTGACACAGTGGCATGGGACACACCTTTTAGCCTCTCTGATGAGCCTCGGATCTCATCAGATTTGTTGGGAATTTGATTGGATTATTCCTAAAATCACTTTTGGACCAAAATATTCTATAACCATTGAGAGTATTTTTAAACTTGAAATTATAACCTCTTTCCTTGTTTTTTCTCTTTTTTTTTTTTTGGATTTAGGAAGAAAAGGCTTCTCTTTTACATCGCACCCAGGAAGAAAGAAGAAAGAGAGAGGTAAGCCAGCTTTTTGATCCTCTTCATAAATAAGTATTTTCCACAGCATTATAGAAGCCTGGGTTTTAGTGAACATACTCAGATGTTGCATCTATGTTTGGCTTTAGCAGCGTTTCTGGATGCGTCAGAGTTGGCAGAAAGTTGTTCTGGAACCATTGTAGGAAGAGCTGGGCAAACAGCCTGAGTCCCAGTGAGAGGGAGGGGAGCATGGCTTGGGGTAGGCTTTACTGGCCTAGGAAGGCTTCCTGGTATGCAGTGTTTGTGCTTCCTCCAGTGGGAGGGCACACTTGCTTAGGGCGTGGGTCTCACTGTCTATGGGAGAAGGGAGAAAGGAGCCAACGATGTTCCTTGTTTCCTACTTTGACTTAGAGCTTTCTGGGGATATTCTTGGAATGACTTGCTGATTGATTAGTCTTGTATCTGCTTTTTTAGATAAAGTTTTTTGTTTTATTTTAGCAGCTCAGTTATCGAGAGCTTGTTGGGTGTCCGGGCAGTGAGTAGGATTGACAAGGGTCCTGCTCTACAGTGGCCATTAACAAAGATGTGCAGAGAGCTGTAGAGGCAGCAAAGTTGTACCTGGTCATGGGGAGCCCTGTGGAGAGGGGTTGGGGGAGGGCTGGGGATGGGGGAAAGCAGGTGCCTTTGGGAAGTCAGGGGAAGCAGCAGAGGCAGAGGCGTCCAGGCTTGCAGCTGCCGGCATTTTGACCAGATATTTATTGTGGGGACTGTTCTGTGCACTGAGGATGTCTGGCCTCCACTCAGTAGTTGCCAGCACCATTTCCTTCCTGATTGTGACAACCAGAAGTGTCTCTAAAGATCACCAGTTGGCTGAGAAGGGCAGTTACCATTCCTCTTGTCTCTCTGCTTTGTCCCCTTCCCCTTCTGAGTCAACTGCCAACATGCGTGACCTTTGCCTGGTAGCCTGCACATCTCCTGTGTGTTTTTCTCTGTTTATCCTTTCACGTACCTGTGCTTCAGTTTGGGTATTTCCTCTGACCCAGCCTTTGTTTTGCTAGTGTTGGGGATTGAACCCAGAACCTCCTGCATGCTAGGCAAGATCACTAAGCTAGTGCGCGCGCCCATGCCCTGTGCCCCACCTCCCCACCCCGTTTTAATTTTATTTTGAGGCAGGTTCTTGGGAACTTTCCTAGGGTGGTCTTGAGCTTGTCATCCTTTGGTCTCCGCCTCCTGAGTAGCTGGGATTGCAGGTGTGTGTCACACCCAGACTGAACTAACTTTTCCTTTACAGTTTATCTCTTTAGCAGTGTCTAATTATAAAATTCATCCATTGAATTCTTAATTTCAATTTATCTAATTTCAGTTCTAGAGTTTTATATATTCTTCAGCACTGTTTTGATTAAATATGAGTGTAGATTTTTAAACAGTATTTGGAATCTAGCAGTTGAGTCTTCCGTGGGCTTGGAGAGCATCCCACTCGCCTCTGGCAGGAAGTGAGGAGAGGGTCACCATTGCCCCTACCCTTGAGGGCCTGCCATTTGGGGAGAGGCTGCTGTTTCCAGAGCACCTAAGATGCAGCCCGAGGTTGTTCTCAACCCCCTTGGAGTGAGTGGTGAGTGGTGTGCCTCCGAAGGTATAGACAGATCCACAGGAGCTGCAGGTGTGTATGTGTTGTGTGTAGTGTGGTAGGGCCACACAGGGATGAACCCTGGCTTGCCTCTGTGCTCCCTGGTCCTCCTGTGGTGACTGTGGGAGGTGCCTGCCAAAGCTGTGCACAGCAGGAGTTGGGTAGGGATATTTCGCACTTACAGGGATGGGGTTAAGAATGTGTTTCTGTCAGGGCTCTGAGATCTTTAAAGACAGTCTCAAGTCAGTGAAGATTGAAGTTTTTGGAAGTGACCTTTAAGGTAGATGTTTGTATTGTCGGTATTTTAATATTTAAAACTTTTAAAATAGTCTTAGTGTATTGGTAGGATTGTAAAATGGCATAGCTAGTTTGGAAAACATGGCAGAAATATGAATTCCACTCCAAGGGAGATACCCAAGAGAAATGAAAACTGTCCGCAAAAAATGTGGACATGAGTGTTCAGAGCAACGCTGTTCATGATAGCCCAGATGGACACAGCCCAAGGGCCCCTCAGCTCATGAATGGAGAAACAATGTGAGACACCATATGTGTAATGTTGATTGGCTGTAAAGAGGAACAAGGTACCAACACATGCCACAGGGTGTGTGAATCTCGAAAATACCAAAGTGAAGAAGCCGGACAAAATGGCTTGTGTTGTGTGATTCCTTGATTTGCAGGGTACAGGATGGGAAAACTTACAGAGATACAGGGTATTAGTGTGGGGTGACGGGTGGGTGATGAACACACTTGGAATTCGGTGGTGGTGATGGCTGTATAACTCTGGCTGTGCTGACAAGCATACTCTATGAATGATGCATGTCAGAGCGAACTGTGTGGTGTGTGAACTATACAGCTGTTATTATTTTTAAGAAACTCATACTAGCTAAATGTCATTTTGCCTGATTTTGACCTACTGTTCTTTGCTTTCTCCCTCAATTATATAGGAAGAAAGGCGGAGATTGAAAAATGCAATAATTATCCAGTCATTTATTCGAGGCTACAGAGACAGAAAACAGCAAGTAAGTTTGTTTTTGAAACAGAATTAGAAGGATATACAAGAGCTGATTTTTAAATGTGGTCTTGTTGTTATGAGTAGCATCTTTTGTATGTGTTTTTGTACACCTGTTTAATGAAAGTTAATGTTAGCAGTGCTTTTTAAATAAATACTGTAGTGCTGTTAGGCCTGGTGGTATAGCTCCGTGATAGAGCACTTGCCTGGAATATGCAAAGCCCAGAGTTCCATCCCCTGTACCACAAGTAAATAATAATAATACTTCACTAGTTCCATTTACATACGGATTTATAGTGGGTTTTGTTGTTGTTGTTTATTTTGTGTTTGAGACAAGGTCTTATTATGTACCCCAGGCTGGCCTTGAACTTGTACCAGTCCTGCTGGCTCACTCTCTCAAGTGCTGAGATTATAGGCATGAGCCACCATATCCAGATGTTTTGGGTATTTTTAAATAGTAAAATAAATACATGGGCCAAACCATAACTGGGATCAAAATAGAAGGAAGTATTAAAAAGGTTTATGTCTGTCTGTCTCTTTTTGCTGTACTAGGGGTCTAACTCAGGACCCTAGCAGTAAACTACATCCCCAGCCCTTTTTATTTGTAACTTTGACTCAAGGACTCACTAAATCACTGAGTTGCCCAGCCTGGGCTAGAATTTATCACCTCCTGTCTCACCCTCCCAGACAGCTGGGATTATGGGTGTACTGGAAAGATTCTTTTAGTGGGCATTTAAGATCTTTTTTGTTTTATTGAATCTTCTTCAGTAACTTCCATAACAGCATCGTCGTATTTGTCAGTGTCCAGCAATCCCATATAGTCATTTAACATTTATTTAGATTATAAGAATTGGGTGTCCGAGGGGCAGGTTTGTGCACTGTTTCCCTTTGCTTGCAGTACTCCCTCCAAAGAAGCGCATTCGATCGCTTTGCCAACGAGGCACAGTTGGGTGGCACCTTCTCCCTTGCCAGTGGCCCCAGCCTTACTCTCCTGGTGAGGCAGCTTCTGTTCTTTTACAAGCAGAGTGAAGACTCAAAGCGTTTGGTGAGTGCTCATACACATTTCACTTGCCGTTGTGTATACTGTATGTCTTTCAACTTCTTTTTGAAAAAACACGGAGATGATAAGCCAGCTAAACCCTCCAGTACGTGTGAGCCCTTAGGAACATTCCTCACCTCTGTGATGATGTGTTTCTCCTCTTACAAGTCAATATACATTTTATATAGTTCCATATTCTATGCATTTCCATAGTTCAAGTATGGAAAACTTCAAATAACTAAAGAAGTAGGCTCTGCTGACACCTCCTTGTCCAAGGCAGCAACAGTCAGCAGCAGACCTGCCCAGCCCCCGGCCTTGTTGTAGGTCTCCTGTCTGAGCCCCGGTTGATTCCCAGAGTGAGGGACCCTCCGTGCATTTCCTAAGACTTACAGGCTTTGGTGCTACCAGTGATGAGGAGCAGTATGCATGAGTGATCGGAAATAGGTACAGATATATCAGGGAATCATTTTTTCAAAATGGAACTTATTACCCATTTGCCTGTTCTTAGAAATTTCCATTTACAGTATCTATAATGAAATTTCAAATTGTATTTTAAAAGGTGGGGTCCACAATGAAAAACAGGTTCGATGCTACAAAGCATGCTTGCTAACAAGTTCCCCCTGCAGTGAGTCCGAAGGACAAAGGAGTCCCCGACTGCATGTCTGGAGCCCAGCCCTGCCACCTTAGTGTGGTGGGAGGGGACATGGAAAAGATGCTCTGTCCCTGCACTATCTAGGGTAGCACAGGCAGGAGACCTATACCCACACAGGCATGTTCTGGGCTTCTTGTCTGAAGTTCCTAAGAAAATGCATCAGGCACGGCTGCAGGCAGGCCACACAGGTGACCCAATCCTCATGCTCCCTAGTCTTGGGGAAGGTTGCCAAGGAGCAGAGACTGGAGCAGGTGTTGTGGGTATTGTATTGTTCTGCTATCTAGAGCACTCATTTCTTTCCATGATGAGGCTTGGTCTGTGATTTTGGTTTTTTTGAGACAGGGTCTCACTGTGTAATTCCAGCTGGCCTTGGACTCACTGTGTATCCCAGGCTGGCCTCAAACTTGCAGCAATTCTCCTGCCTCCTGCCTCAGTTGGGATCACAGGTGTGCACCACCATGGCCAGTTAACCCCCACCTAGCTTCTAGATGCAGGCATACAAACCAAATTGCTCTGGTGCAGATTCTGGAATCTGCAGTAGGATAAAATGTCATCAAACCTGTTTTATACAATAAAAGTGGATTTCAGTGTCTTCTGTTCTGGCATCTAAAGTTGCAAGAGCAGTCATGTGGAAAAAGTCTGTGTTGGTCTATCTTGAAGTTCTCAGTTCCTACTCCAGAGCAAGTGTGATGCTACTTCTCATGGTTTTTCAGAGATACTTAGTGCCAAACTAAGCATACATAGCTACCTTTCTCGCCTCCTCCTTTTATTTATTTGTATTATTGTGACTTTAAATATGGCTCTCTGCTGAATCAAATAGCATACCGTGGTTATATTTTTCGTGTACAATTCCCCTTCAATTTTTTGGAGTTAATATTCAACTCACTTTTTAGTTGCTTGCTCTTCTTTGCAGAATGCGTCATAAAATTATTTCCTCCCAACATAGGACAGGCTCTAAAATGTTACTGAAGAAGTTTTTCTATTATTTCCAATGCTTAATAACATTTTATATCAAATAAGCATTAATGTCAAAGAAACCACTTAAAAATAGTAGACAAATGGCTCGTGGCCTATCCATAACTAGCCATGTTTAAGAGCTGCCTTTTTAATTCCATCTGGTTGTAAGTGGGTCTTATGAGATGAAAAGATAGAACACTAGTCTGTTCTACAAAAATGGAGTAAGTGGAAGAGATTCCTTGTTAGACATTGCATTTTCAAATCACTTATGGCAACTGTGTACATGCTGCATACTGTCAGTGCCCTGGAATGGTAGGGACAGAATCTGGCTCTGCTGTACTGAGCTTTGTTGGCCAGCCATTGTGTCCAGGAGAGTGGGCTGTGCTAGTGGCCTGTTCACAGGAAGTGTGGTGCCATGAAATAGGCAGCCCATCTAGCCTAAGAGTAATCCTATCTTTCTCATATTTTTAGGATGGCTTGCTGATTTTTGCAGAACTGTTTTTGTGTCCACTACATGAACTTTGTTGAAAGTACTTTGTTGTAGTAACTAATCTAATACAACTTAACATTCACGTATTAAGATGGAAAGTACAAATATTATGAATTAAAACCTGACTTGAAAACCTTACCTACTAGTGCTTGGTTGGGTTTCAGTGTGTATTACTACTTGAGAAGACTTTGTAAGTAAATAAGCAAGCATTTTTATGGGTTGAGAGGTGTATGTTTTGCTGTTTCAGATATGGCTGTACCAGAACTTAATCAAACACAGCTCTGTGTTTGTCAAGCAGTTGGACGGATCTGAGAGACTGACATGCTTGTTTCAGATCAAGAGGCTGATGAGTCTCTGTTGCAGGTAATTCTGTTATAGTTACTTACACGGTGTGCTGAACACCTCAGATGTCTGGGGAAACAGCTTTTGATTTTCATTTTCTGAGACAGTAGCTTTTGGGGGATAATATTCTGTTTTCTTTTTCCTCTCTAGGTGATTCTGGCCTATGTGACATAGAAATTAAAACACAAACATAAGTATCTTCTAGGTGATGTTTTCTTGCAAGGATAACCTGGAATTATCTTGTGAAATGTTAAGGTGTCCTCTAAGTGCATGCTGCCTGTGTATTTGAGAGGCACCCTGTGCAGTGCCACCAGCTGGAAGGGGGTGGACCAAGGCTGGGGCCAGCTGGGATGTGTGAGATTGCAAAGGGTGAGAAGCAGAGACGTGAAGTGGAGTTGGCAAGTAGAGATTCCCCGTAATTTGGAGAAATCAAGAGGAGAGTGTTTGTTAAGGAGGAAGTGCCGTGATGGTTAGAACAGGTGGAAGGATGCATCTGAGTGGGCAGGAGGACAGGGTGTGGCCTCGGGGAGGAGGACAGCTGTCCATCTTGTCAGCAAGCAGGCAGGCCTGGTGAAAAGAAGACTCCTGAGTGAACAGTATGCCCTTGAAAACACCGTCATCACCAGGAATTCTGGTCACAGTGACTTAGAGCTACAGACTCCTTAGAACACAGTTGTGTTTTAACAATTGGGATGTGGAGCAGCTGACATCTCCTTTGCATCTCTTGAAAGTTTGGTGGGTTTTTTGGGCTTTTCTTCTTTTGGTACAGGGATCGAACTCAGGACCTTGCACTTGTCAAGCAGGTGCAGCACCACTGAGCTGTATCCCTGGCCCTTTGGTGGTTTTTTTGTAAAGCCAAAGCCACAGCATCCATATGACCCAGGGTTCCTCACCTAGGAGTTTTCTTACAGCGATGGGGTGGGCACAGTGCACTGAGGCCTTTCCTGGAGTGTTTGCACAGCTGCTGTCTGCATCCCATGTAAATGTGTACCCTGTTGAGGGCACATAGTGACCACTACTGGATAGAGGCCAGGACTAGGTTTTAAAGATATGTTAGGTGCTGCACCACAGAGAGATGCTGCCCACCCTGCTCCTTCCTGTGGGAGCAGGGACTATGGCTCCATCTATAGCTGCAAAGGAAAGCAGTGGAGGGAAAGCAACTGGAGATACTAAGAGCAACTGTTGGGGTGATGGTGTGGTATGCTAGCCACAGGTTGCCATCTGCCTCACATGGGTAGAGTAGTGTGTGTAAATTAGGACTGTCTAAAGTCTGTTTGAAGAAAAGGCATTAAGTCTGTTTCTAAATTAAGTTAAATTTTGTGACAGCTGCACCTCCCTTCTGTCTCTAATTCCTATTCATAAGAGGTGGCTTTGGTTGGAGGAACAAGTCTCCGCCTGGGCCTGAGATGGGTCCTCCTGGGGCAGTTGCAGCTCCTCCAGAGCATCTGTGTATTGGAGACTGACACCTCACTTCTGCCCAGTGGCTGCCATCTGTGGTGTGCTCATCTGCTTTTCCTTCTGGACTTGTGCAGTTTTCATCTCTGAACCTAATGAAGACTGACAAAGCCTGAACAGTAGCATACATCCTTCCGTCTGTCCTTGTGTCACCCCTCTCTTCAGATACTGTGGCTCCAGAACAGAGAGGTTCAGGCACTCACCATAGCAACAGAGGAAATTGGGAAAGCTTTGGTGACTGGCCATCCAGTCAGGCTCGTTTTTCTCCTTTCTCCAGGTTGTTGCAGAATTGTACTGATGACAGCTTGAATGTTGCTCTCCCAATGCGGATGCTCGAGGTGTTTTCCTCTGAGAACACTTACTTGCCTGTCCTGCAGGATGCCGGCTACGTGGTGTCAGTCATTGAACAAATATTGCACTACATGATTCACAGTGGTGAGCAGGGTTGGGCCACACCTGTGGGGTGACACTGTGAGGCCCTTGCAGGCCCAAGTGCTTTCCTCCAAGTGGTGCCTTGATGCCCTGCACCTGCAGAGGTGCCTACAGCTGTCCTGGGCCAATCTAAACTCAGGGAAGCAATCTGACTCACTGTGCTTCATTGTCATTGTCTCAGCTTAAGATGAGAGTGAAAAATGCTTTCAGAAGTTGCTCTAGTCCTTGAAACTAGCTCTGTCTACAGGGCAGAGCAGTCCTTTTGAGAGCCAGCAGGAAGAGTCTCTACTTCCTATCATTCCGAGAGGGTGAGAGGGGCAGCAAGCACCTCAGTCACATGGGCTAAGCTGCTTGAGCAGCTTGGTCTTGCTACAAAAGTAAATCTCACCAAGTTGTTTTCATTAAAAGAAAGTTGAGCTCTTATAAACCACACCTGAACATCATTATTTCACAAAGGGTGTGGGAGGCTACAGTGGACCCTTGACTTATGAACTCAGTTCGTTCCCAAGGGCTGGTTGTAACTCAGGTTGGTCAGTTGAAGGCTCAGGCTCCTCTGTACAGCCTTCAAAGTCTCTGTCTTGTACACAGGCAGCTCTCAGTGTCCTTAGAGAGACATTGGCTGAGGATTTCTCAGTTAATCCCATACAGGAAAAGATGGTGAAATGTTCCAGGACTTTAAAGGTTAAATCTGTATCTGAGACCATCTAGAAGCCCAAGCAGCTGGCATTCAGGTCATAAGACTATGGTCATTAGTTAAAACTAAAATTCTGGTTGTAACTCAAGTTGTTCATATGTCAGGGCGGCCGGTTGTAACTTGAGGGTCCACTGTATTTCTAAAAGAATAGATGATTTGGACCATGGGTTTACTGTACAACCTGATAGCTAATCAGAAGCTTAGAAAGGACAACTTAGTGGAAGTCTTCACAGTTGTCCCTTCCTATAGGAAGCTGCCTTTGGTCCAGTTCATTTCCTCGGCACCCCGATTGTGCTCTCTAGATATGTTGCTTTCTCTAACGGGACCCTAAGAGGCCGTGGAGACAAGGGCTTTGGCAGGTCAGCCTGCGGGAGGCGGGACTGGGGGTCTGCGGGCGACACCCTGAAATCTCACCTGCATGGGCATGGGCGGGTGAGGCCGGGTTGGCTGGCATTGACAATGCTTGTTGCCGAGTAATGGGTGCCTGGGGATGTGTGCCAACCACATGACTGATGTGTTTGTTTAAAGTTTTCCTTAGTAAAATATTAGAGAAGAATTAACCTAAACTCGAGCTGTAGAAATTTGTAAAAGGGATTTAAACATTAATGAATTTTTTCCTTTGTTATAAGAAAAAAATTTAAATGTGTTTTTCCTTTCTTTTAGGGTATTATAGGTCTCTTTATTTGCTGATTAACAGCAAGCTTCCATCAAGTATTGAATATTCTGATTTGTCTCGAGTTCCTATAGCAAAAATTTTGTTGGAGAATGTCCTAAAACCATTGCACTTTATGTACAACTCCTGTTTAGAAGGTGCAAGGTGGGTAAGAGGAATAGATCTTTCAAGTGTTGTCATTTCACAAAATCTGTAACTCGCAATAACTCTTCATGGGATGCTCCTTTTGTTTTTAAAGTATTTTGAGACGGGTTCTCACTAGTCCAGGCTGGTCTCAAACTTGTGATCCTCCCACCTCAGCCTCCTGAGGGCTGGCATTTCGTGTAGGCTAAGGGATATTACTTTAAATACAGGCTTTAGGGTTAAGTTTTTACTTTGTTACTATGGCTTAGTCCATAGGAACAGTTAGTGCAACCTAATATAAATTTGTAATTTCTGATAATGTTGTTATTTCCTACTTGGTATAAGCTGTGAAAAAGATACAAAAACATGCATTTATTTCAGGTTCATCTCATTGATATTAAACAGTTAATTTGGAATGTAGATTATTTAGATATTTTAAAAAGTAATAGTAAGTATGGATTTGATGAACAGTTAATTTTGAGTTTACAGAAAGCTTCCATTCTCCTTTCCAGGCAGCAAGTTTTCTCGGCCTTCACAGAGGAGTTTCTGGCAGCACCTTTTACAGATCAGCTCTTTCACTTCGTCATCCCGACACTAGCAGATGTACAGACCGCTTTCCCTTATGAGCCTTTTCTGAATGCACTGTTGTTACTAGAAAGTAGATGTTCAAGCAGGAGTGCTGGAGCACCGTGGCTTTTCTATTTTGTTTTAACTGTTGGCGAAAGTCATTTGGGTATGAAATAACAGATGTATTTTACCCAAACCCCACGTAGGTAGCATGAGCAGATGAGCCAAGAGAAGGCCTGCAGTGGCGAGGGGGTGTGGCAAAGGTGGAGATGTCGGAAAGGGTGCTGCGGAGGGACTGGCTGGGCTAGGGCCTGGGCCGGGTTCCAGGCATGGCCCGGCAGTTAATCAGGGATATAGGGTAGCTCTCCAGTCCACAGGGTTTTTCTAGTGTGCCTCTAGGATGTTTGAGCACATGTGTACACACACCGTTACCGTATGGAGACCAGCACTTCTGGGACCAGGTGGTTCCCAGCTTACACGCTGCACGGTCCTCCATGGAGGTTCCTGTATGTACACACAGCTGCCCCACGGTGGACAGCACCTGGGCATTCTATAACCAGGTCAGTGCTGACCTTAACCTCCAGAGAGCTCCAGATGTCAGGATGTGCCTCAGCCCACAAGCCTGCCCCACTCAAGACACTGATTGCAGGTCCTCAGTAGTCACCTCTGCTAAGGACCAAGCAGCATAATGAGTTCATGGGCCCCACTGGGGCTTGCTGGTGTCCTAGAGCAGTTCACAGAACTGAGAGACGCTGCACCCTGAACCTCATGTTGTAAAAGATGCTGCTGTACAGCTGGTTGCAGAGGTGCACAGCCTGGGGTCGAGGTGGGGGCGGACCAGAGCTGCATGGTGCTCATTAGCAGTGGAATCTTGGATCAGAGCTCCCATCAACCTTGCTCACCCACCCTCCTGTGAGTTGGGGTTGCCGACCTGCAGCCTTCTCGTTCTGGTCACCCCACTGGCAGCATGATCAGGGGTGACCAAGGACCCTGCTCGCTGCCAGTGCACCCAGTGTGAGTGTGCCCTGGGACGGGGACCATGTATACAGTGTAGCATGCCACAGTGGGATTCTGTAGACAAGCCAAAGCTGCGCCTGAGAAGTGACACTAGCTAAGGGGGTTGTGTCTGCTTGTTCCACAGGGATGCTCTCCGAGGAGGGCCTGCTGGTGTACCTGCATGTGCTCCAGACTTTCCTTTCCCAGCTGCCTGGCTCGCCTGCTGGTGCCAACTCCCACGATACCTCCAGTGACTCTGAGGATGAGAGTGAGGAAGCCAACCAGCGTGCCAGCCCTGTAAGCACCACCTGCAGCCTTGGCTGCTTCTGGGCACTGTAGTTCTCTTCTGTTTTTGATTAGGGAGTTTCCTGTGATAAATGCTGATTTAAATCCCAAATATACTCTCTCAAGTGGCTGCATTTCCAGGTGAGACATGTTTTCTGGGTGTTAGGAGGTACAGGGTAGGTGAGTATTGTGCTTACAGTACAGATAGCTGCTCAGCTTGGAGTGAGCCACAACACAGGGAGAACAGGGTGCTCAGGTTCTTGCAGGGCTACTTCAGGTCGGGATTCCTGAGTACAAAGGGATACAGCTGAATGTTCTAGTGGGTGCTGGAACTGTCACATCTGTCAAAACTTAGAACTAGACAGTCATAGTAGTGTACACCTGTAATCCTAGCTACTCTGGAGGCTGAGGCAGGAGAATTGCAAGTTGAAAGCTAACCTGAGCATATTCTCAAGACCCTGGAGACAGGTAAGTGGTAGAACACTTGCCTAACATGCACAAGTTCCCAGGTTCAGTCCTTAGGGCTGCAAAAAAATCAGCCAGGGAGTTAGCTCAGTGGTGCCGCTGCCTGCCTCACAAGCGCAAGGTCCTAAGTTTGATCCCTGGTACCAAAAAAACCAAAAAACAAAACTCAGAACTATACAACCAAAAAGGTATGAATTTTGTTGTATGTTAAAAAAAAAAGTGGCATTTTATAGCTGGAAAGGTTGTTTTTAGAAGAAAGTTAATATTTGAATATCTTCTAAAGAATCTGTGAAAGAAAAGTTTATTTTTATACAGTATGCTTACTGCTCACCTGCTTTTGAGGTGGTAGCTTTGTTAGGTAGGGAGTGATTGCAAGCCTTCCTCGGGGATGTCACCACAGCAGCAGACACACCAAGCAGGGCCTAGGCTGAGCTGCGGCCCTGCAGCAGAGTGCTGGCCTGGCACAAGAGCTCTGTTTATTGATTGTGTGGAATATTGTTCCACTTGTCTTTTAAGAGGTACAAGCTTCGAGGTCTGTTTATTGTCTTGCTTTATACTTTCTCTTTCTCATCCTTTGCATTTTTCCCTGGCCTTAGGTGTTGTCCCTTTTTTTCCTGCCCACGTTTGAGTTGAGAAATGAAGTGACCCAGTTGTGAGCCAGGAATTTTTCTTTATTTCTGGCCCTGTCTTTTGTTTCCATGTTTAGTAACTTTTCTCTCTTGGATATACTTCTGTAGAACTTTATTTGGTTATGTGAGATTTTTCAGTGTCAGGGTTTGCCCTTTGTAAAGTTTGATCTTACAACTGAAGGTTCTGGTAGATGCTTATAGTTTCTATTTAATCTATTCACTTATTATATATAGTTTATTTTTAAATTGTACACTTCAGAAATAGTGCCTGTGTTCTAATTCTTTATGTGCATTTTAAAGATTCAAGTTTAATTCCATTCAAGATGGAATTTATGATTTGTAATCTAAAGCCATGTTGTGCTTGGTAAATTATTATAAATTACATATATATGGAAGTTTCTAAATGGCATAGTAAGTAGTACTTAAAATTACACATGTCCTTATTTACATGTGTGTGAAAGAAGCATATATTTTTAGTTAATGCCCTAAATGAGTATGCTGTATGGCACAGTATCTTAGGCTTTGTTCAGTGACCCAGATCTTCTAGAGCCATGTGCAGTGGTACACACCTGTGATTCCAGCTACTTCAGAAGCTGAGGCAGGCAGATTGAAAGTTGAAGTACATCTTGAAAAATGTAGTTGAGACTCTGTCTCAAAAAGGGATAGGGATAGTTTAGTGTAAGGTCCTTGTTTTAAATCTCCAGTACTAAAAATTAATTCATATTCTCATTTATTTTGCTTAAACTGTGATCTCTCAAATAATGTAAAATGGAAATGTTCTTTTAGTACAACTTAATCTCAAAATTTGGAATGTACTTTTCTTAACAGTATATACTGAAAATATAGCTGGGAGAAACCAAGCAGTCACAGTTTCTGTGTTGTTATCAGGTTGGGCACAATAGATGCCGGGAAGTAACGGAAGCTCTAGAGGATGACAGGCGGGCCTGGGGTGTGTTAGGGTCACCGTGTGTGATGTGGGTAATTTTCAGACAGGCCCACTTCCTGTCTTCTCTGTGGGGAAGAGGGCACTTTGGAGCATAGCCACGCTAAGACTCCTGTCCTGTTCATTGCAGGAGAATGGCCGGCTGTCCACTCCCTACATCACCGAGGAGTGTCTCAAGAAGCTGGACACAAAGCAGCAGACCAACACCCTGCTGAACCTGGTGTGGCGGGACTCGGCCAGTGAGGAGGTCTTCACACGGATGGCCTCCATCTGCCACACACTAATGGTGCAGCACCGCATGATGGTGCCCAAAGTCAGGCAGGTCTCAGTCCCATGAGTGACTGCCTACCCTGCTGTTACTTTAGCCGCTGTTTTCTGATAGAGGAAGATGCAGAATATTGACTTCTCCAAGCACGTCATAGTAAATGAAAGGTTTTCTTTTTCTAAACTTAATATGGTTGACCTCTTTTTTCCTGGCACCCTGTATGTGATCGCTAGTACATCACGCCCGCTGTTTATGTAGCATCTTTTTTTTTTTTTTTTTAATACGAAACAGGCTCCTGCTATGTAGTTCAGGCTGGCCTTGACTCACTAGTAGCCCAAGACGGCCTTGAACTCAAGGCATTCCTCCTGCCTCAGCCTCCTGAGTACTAGGATTATAGGCATGCACTACCACGCCCAGCTGTGAAGCATCTTGTAATGAGAGTTTAGTCCTTGCCACATAGTTGAAACAGGCTCCTGCCTGTACATGGTAGAGCCAGTATATTCTACTTCTTTTTTTGTAGCACCCTTTTTATCAGGTTGCCCTTGGAAATTTAGTGAGTATATTTTATTTTTCAAGGCTTTGAAATAAACTTGGTTGAGATGAAGCAAGATACACAGGTTTAAATTTGTGGCTAATCTGAGCGTAGATCAGTGTGGCAGTAATCTTGAGCTATTTCATTTCCTTCTGTTTGGAGGAGTGGTTTCTGGCGCGTTTATAGCAGAACATTTCCTTTGCTCCAGTAACCCTCGGTGGTAGTTCTGCTGGATGTCTCTGTGCGGACTGCAGAAAGACACCGCCTGCCAGGGAACAGGTCCCTCGTGGATGCTCGTCACCCTGTCTGGTTGACTCAGCGGTTCCTGTTGTCAGGAAAGTGATCTAGGACACGAACTAGGAGACATGCATGGTGGGTTGGAATTGCCTGGTAAATACGGTGCCACCAGCTTTCGGCTGAGGTGTCCTAGGTGGGGCTCACTGCTGTTTACGGGCCAAGGGAGGAAGTGAGGTGGGCGGGGCACCATGACCCCAATGGGCCATGAGCTCTTTGTGTGCAACTGCAGCGGAATGGGAGCTGGGACCCCTGGTTTTATTGTGGCCCTGAGTTCAGTGCCACAATGGAGTGATTGCTGGACATAAATCACCCCTTCTTGGGCTTCGGTTTACTGGGGAACTGCTTCCTAAGGTGCTAATGGCAAAGCAGCTTTCTAGGTCCAATTTTATGAGTGAATCTCCTATTTCCTCTAAGCAGCTACTCTTGGAACTACTTTATGGTTTAGATACATTAGCTTTTAAGTATATTCAGAGTGGTTTTCATAGCTCATGAAATAGCAAGTAGGCCTCCTTTCACTTTTGTAATTTTAACTGCTTTTGGTTTTTTAAGAAACATTAACAAGTTGATTAGTGTATGCCCAGGCTGGTAACTCATCCTTGACCACTCCCTGTCTAATATCAGCCGCTCTTATGTTCACAGTTGGGATTTGCAGTTTTAATGTCTGTGTGAAACTGATTATCAGGAGTATGAAGGAATGTGTAAGCCCTTTCTACACCAACATGGGAAGATTTCTAAGACAGATGTACATGAGAAAAGGAGCTAGAGAGCAATACACAGGATTACCTACAGTGGTGTAAAGAGGATAGAAAAGAACATACTGTGGAGGACCTGCGGAAGCTTCTGTAGGACTTGAGAAAGCCATGGCCATGAGTCTCAGTGTGCAGAGTGGGCTGGTTTTGTTGGTGTTGGCGATTAAGTGAATAACTTAGGGTTTTTTTGGTTTTTTTCTTACTGGGGATTGAACTCGGGACCTTGTGCTTGTGAGGCAGGCACAGTGCCACTGAGCTAAATCCCGGGCCCCAATAACTTAGAATTTTTAAATTAAGTAATAAATGAGTTGTGAACTCCTTTTTGGAGAGGAAATGTCTTACTATGGGACTTGGAAATCTGAATAAAATTTGGCTTTAAAATCATTTTTCTTTGGGCCGGGGATTTAGCTCAGTGGTAGAGCTAGCATACAAGAGGCCTTGGTTTCTATCCCCAGCATTGCAAAAAAAGGTGTCTTTGCCCTTGAAAAAGTGGATTCACTTTAAAATGCAAATAAATATTAAGTGGTTTTGGGCAGAAGGCACTGGTCCCCTGTCCAGAGTAGCAAGCGGCATCAGGTCTGAGAGGCAGCAGCCTGTGTTCCAGTGAGGCTGTTCTGTGTCATCCTGAATGGGCCCGGGGCAGGTTGAGAGGCACTGCAGAGATGGGCACAGTGGCCTTTCCTCAGCTGTCCTTCCCAGTCGTGTGCACGGCTGCTTTGGTGCCCATCCAGATGGCCAGCGGGTCCTCCACAGGTTCACTCGTAAGTGGCTTTCCTCTGTGGTCTTTGACGGCCTCATCTTTCCTCCCCTAACCCCCCCCCCCCCACACACCATATTCCTGTGGTTTTTCTTTTACTCTTGGCTTCTGTTGTTTCATTTATGGGGCCATTGTGTCTCAGTGTTTCCTAAACATCTTAAGTCTCTTTGTGTTTCCTTTTTCAGTTTTTCTTTTCTTTTACTTGATTCTCTTGGTGATTTCTTTCATATAAGCAGCTTCAACTATATTCATTTCTATCTTTATCATAGTAAAGATCATAATAACTTCTCAGGTCTCCACACTTAGGTTCAGCTGCGAGCGAAAGAAGTGTCTCAGGATCAGTAAGTTCCTGATCACTGTCTGGAATGAGTGCTCATCTTCCCAAGAACTTTCTTTTGTGCCTGACTTCGTCGGTGGCCCCATCGTTCACTATTGTCTGTGCCCACCCTGCAGCTGTGGTCTTGTACATGTAGATTATCTACTGTGTGCATAGGCTTAGTCCCTCAGTCACCCTAGACTCAGGGCCAGAGATCACTGTGCAGACTGGAGCAAGCCCAGTCTTTGTCTGGCACTGACCTGGTGTTAGACTTAGACTTACTTTCCTCAGCTTCCCGTGTGCATTTAGGCACCAAGGTATCAGAACTGTATTAAATTAGATTGTGTTTTGCCATACCAAATTCTCAAAAATACAGCCTTGATAATTTCATTCTCATGTCTAAACTTCATGGTGGCTTCCCTTTCCTTTCAGAAAAACTTCACATTCTTTGGATTATTGATTTGTGTGGTATCCTTTCATTATCAAGCATTTCGTCGTTATCATTCTACCTTTGTTGCTAGCCTCAGAATGCTTTTTGCTCCAGTCATACTTAATCACATGCATTTTATTGATCCTGTGATGCCATCTTCCTGCCTCTCTCCTGGGCATACTGGTCTCTGTCCAAATACTTCTTCCTCTTCCTGGTCTTGCCCATAAGTGGTGGGCATGTGTTCTTTGAGGCATGGCTTTTTGCTCCCTTTATGGATCTGAAAGCTTTGAAATAGAATCTTAAAGGTAGCATGTGAGGAACTAGGTTGGCTAGTATTGTAATTTGCCTACAGTTTTCATGCAGGCACATCCAATCAAAATATACCGCATAGCAGTTCGGTTTAACGTGTGCTGAACTTTTCCAACAAAACTTAATAGGATGAGGCAGCCTGATGGCAACTGTGTTATTAATCGTTGTGATTTAGACCACTGTCTCCCTGTGCTTTTTCTCAGCAGTACTCCTACACAGTGACAACAAAGAATCTTCAGCTCTTGATGTAAAAGTTCACATCTCATGCTTTACTAATCTGGGAAAAGTGATTATACCAGTAGCTTTAATGGAGAAAAAAACCAGATACATGTTTCATTACATGTGTAGAATTGAACACTATATACTGTTCATGATATTTATAAACAAAATTTTACATTTTGGAGAAAATATCGAGGATGTACCTGGAGAAATAAACTTTATTTCTTTGCCTGTGATTTCATGGTGGCCTTTATTATCAATATTTTCAGTGTAATCAATAGATTAAGCCAACTACTGATTCGTGTTAAAAATTTTGTTCTTTTGACCTGGGGATTTAGCTCAGTGGCACTGTGCCTGCCTTGGAAGCGCAAGGTCCCGAGTTTGATCCCTGGTACCAAAAAGAAAAGAAAAATGTTTTTGTTCTTTTTCATAAAGTTCATATGACACTGATCAACTTTTAAACATTTAAACACATAATGATTTTATTAAATCTCTTGTAAATAAGAATTTTTTAAAGGTTTGTGAATGGTAATTAGTCCACAGGAAGACATAAATAGGCTTGACGAAACATGTACCATAGTTATTTTGGATTCCCATCCCTTTTAAATTTGCTTTTAAGGATTATGTAATTAAGGTATGGGGGGGGCATGGATTTAGCTCAGTGGCACACCTGCCTGACAAGTACAGGGTCCTGAGTTCGATCCTCTGTGCCAAAAAAAAGTCATCTATCTTCATAAAAATAAAACATTATTTTAAAAAATACTGTAAAAAAACCAAAGAAAAACAAACAGGGAAGTTTTCTGCCACTCTGTGAACAGTTTTTTTATGTCCTTTGCACTGTCTCCTGATTTTTCATTGATTCTGATCAGTCTTATTTTTGTTTGCATCATCTAACAGCTGTTGGATTGATTTTTTTGTCTTTCTTTTCATGATTGCGAACTGCCCACTTGTCTTGTAGATCTGATATTCTGTCCTCACATGGTTGATCCTACTGCATATACTTTCAATAGAGTTTTTTTTTTTTTTTTTTGGTACCGGGGATCGAACCCGGATCCTTGCGCTTGTGAGGCAGGCAGTGAAACTACTGAGCTAAATGCCCGGCCCTCAATAGAGTTTTTAATTTCATGGATATCTGTTTGAATCTGTTTCATGGAATACATTTCTTTCCTATGTTGAACATTCATGGATTCCATCATTTTCCTAAACTCCTTTTTAAAAAAATCTTTATCTACTCTAGATTCACTAACCATGTCCTTCAGTATGGCCATCATCTCTTTATTTATCTGAGAAATTATTTGATTTGTTTTTTTTCTAGAGCCTCATTCATCTACTTTGTTACTTCTGTTATTACCATTTCAGAGAACTCAGGTGGGTGGCGACAAACAGGGAAGGGAGTATCAGAGGGCACCCTAGGGGGTACACTGCTTCTTCCCCCGTTTTCACTTAAGCCAGAGTAGGGGAAGTATATTTTTGAGTGTGCTAATGATATAATTAAAGCCAGTTACTAGTAAAAGGTAAGCCACTTGTCTGGCCCGGTTATGGCTTTAGCACTGGAAGCTCGGTTGAAAGTGGCTCTGTTTCTAAAGAGTGTCTCCTTTTTTTCTTGGTACTGGGGATTGAACTCGGGACCTTCCGCTTTCGAGGAAGGCGGTGTCCTATTCATTTTGTTTTGTTTTGTTTTTCTGGTACTGGGGATTGAACTTGGGTCCTTGCACTTGCGAGGCAGGCAGCGGAACCACTGAGCTAAATCCCCGGCCCTAGTGTCCTATTCTTGATTCCTAGTGTGTCTGAATGAGTTTTGGCAGCTTGCTTCAAAATGAAATACATCTTAAAACATTTATTATCATTAAAGAAATTCTGAATTTATTTTTAATTTTGCATTATCTCAGAGATGAATTACGTATCTATTTTAATATTGCCTTTGCCAATAAGTGATTATTTTAGCAGAAAACTACAAAATCTTGCATTTGTGAAATGTCTACAAGAGGCAGAAGGGTGTTGGTGTCCTGCTGCATTTCTGACTGGCACTGTCCTCATTGTAGGAGTCCTAGTTGCGGGACACCTGGCTCTGGGTTTGCTTCAGTGACCTGAGCTGGAATTGTTGCTGTTCAGTAATTAACTCAGGGTCGTTACTGCTAGATCAAGCTTAATGGGTAATTTTAATCTATCCCAATACATGGAAAGAATCTGTTACTTCTTTTACTCTCGGAAGTAAGGCTGTACCCTGATTAAATTTGTAACGTAATTTAAAAGTTTAATAATTTATTATTGCCTATTAAGTGATTCATTTAGTAAATAGATTTAGTAAATAATTTAGTAAATAAATTTACTAAATAATTTA